CCCCAGCCTGTATGTATGGTGCCGGTTGTTCCTCCCCAGGTGCATCACCTTACACTTGTCCGTGTTAAACCCCATCCTGGTCTCCTCCGCCCATCCTTGTAACCTATCTAGGTCTAACTGTAGCCTGTTGCTCCCCTCAATTGTGCCCACATCCCCCCACATCTTACTGTCATCTTAGTGTCATGTGAGATGCTTTGACTAAACAGCACAATATATCAAAGGCTTGATTTTTTAAACATTGCCCCCCCTCATTTTTTGATGCCTCTGTTTTCAGGCACTAAGCCTGACATGGTTGGTTTTTAGGGTGTTGAGGACCCACAGTTCTGATTGAAACCAGCAGGAAGACCAAATGCTGCACAGCTGCTGACAATTTGGCCCAGGTGTATCATGCTGGACACCTAAAAACCAACATGCCCCGAATTAGTGAGTTGAACTTAATTCCCACTTTTGCTCTGCAAGGACTGGAAAGCCAGCATGCTGAACTAAGATCGGTCTGGTGCATATGTGGGTCGTTTCTGGGCTTTCTGCACACAACATGGATTGCAAACACAAACAAGCTCCCTTCTCTGAGCTCAGCTACTGAATCTCACATGGGGGAAGATGGTGTCTAACACAGAGGCAGGCAATTATTTCGGGCAGAGGGCCACTTACTGAGTTTTGGCAAGCCATCGAGGGTGGCATGACAGGGCAGACAAATACTAATTTTCTAAATTTTTTAGGGGCCCCACGAGCCAGACAGAATGGGCCGGTGGGCTGTGTTTTGCCCACCGCTGGTCAAACAGGCAGCTGCACTCCCTGCAGCTTCGCTGAGAGTCAATGTTGATGGTCAGGGATTCATGTGTTATGACTCCAGTGATGCAAAGTAGTTATCAGACCCCATGCTCACAGCTCCCCACTTTCCTGAACAGGCAGACCATGCACCTTCCAGGGAGAATTTTCAGGGGGACTTTTCTGCTAACTCATTTTCCCGAGTTTTCTTTTCACCTCCTGGATATACCTTCCAGTTGCCTCTTATTTTGATGGCTACAGCCAACTTTTAATTAATTTGTTTTTTGTAGCTCAATTATTCCTTTCACTATATAAGCCTGAACATATATAATATGATAATTACTAACAGGGAGCTGATGGCAACCCTTTGGTTTTTGACACTTGACTTTGCTAAGTTGATTGATTTCATTCCTTATTTTTCCTTCTCTTTAATTAAGAACTTCTGCTAACCAAGGTCTTAATTACAGTTTTATTCAGCTTGCTTCTCCATAAAACTTCTTCTACACCATGTTCTTTTCCAAGTGATTAAGGTCTAGATCCTGAGCTACACTGCAAAGAACTTATGTCACTGGGCAGCCCTTAGGTCAAGCTTATGTGGCCCCGAAGAAGAGCACTATAGAGAAATGGTATAGCACTGACATAACAGTGCCTGTACTACCCCGTTCCCAATAGCCTAGGGAAAGGGGGCCATGATTGTGCTTTCCACAAATCCTGGTAGTTTCCTACTGCATGTCAGTCAATTCTTTGCAGACCAACAAAAACGTCTAATGAACTAGAAACTGAGCAAAACCTAAAGCTTCTCCTGTCAAGCTCCATTGAAAACAATAAAACGATAACAGTTGACCCCATCTGAAGATCTGTATTTTGATGTTTACCAAATGGAGGACTGGTGCTACCCTCCATTATGGTGGGCAGAAGGGAGCAGAAAGGGGAGAGAAAGTTATAAGGTTGGGAGCAGTTGCCTTCACGAGGCCTGAGAAAACATTTGCTTGCTGCCACTTTTTGTCCTTACAAAAGATTTGATCCCAAAACCCACAGGGGAAAGAATGTGTAAGCCACATATTAGCTGCAGTTAATCAGGAAATGTTGACCAAAGTCAATATACACCAAGCTGAAGATCCAGCCTGGCATGTCCAAGCTTCCCAGAGCATATTACAAGTCAGGAAGAACCAAACTTGAAAACTTTCTAATGAAGCTGGCTGTCACTTTAAGCAAGCTTCCCCAATAAAAATGTTAAGCCCTAGCAAATGGCTTTCGCTTAGCTTGATAAGATCCTTCATTAATATATTTTTTGGTGTTAAATTATACTAAAATCAGCCTGGTTTAATTACTGTATTTTTTTGATGGAAATATCTCATCAGATAATGGCTTTGCAGAAACTAATCATCACACACTGCAGTCTTTAAAATGTCCATCAATACAGCATGCAAGAAAATTAATCCAACGGATAAAACCTATAGCCCTCTGTCTGCCTCAAGAAAGATTTTATCATAGGAATGATTGGGCCCCTGTCATTAAGGATGTTTCCTTTTAGATAAATAGCATGAATGATTAACTGGTTCACTAAGCACACATACTGGAGGAAATCCATCATTTATTGTGTTCTCAGATACTCAAGTGTTCCCTTCTCCTAAGACTCCCAGTTCTGCAGCAAACTTCTAATCATTTTAAATCATTCTAAACAACCTAGCACTGCAGACAACATCTTGGAGAACTTCAAGATGTAGACTTCTTCTGGGCTCTCATGTCCTGCTCAATACACACAGTCAACCTAGCTTCCAAAGTATTTAAGGGAGCCCAAACCAAAATCCAGAGCTAGTATATCTAGTTTCTCAGAATTGGTGTCCGTCTGTACCAGAAAATCCATAACTTGGGCTCTGAATTAGAATTTGCCCAAGGAAGAAGGACAGTGTTCAGACTAGACGTTTCAATTCCGTGCCTTAGAGACAAGGGTCAACCTTGGAACTCGAGTCCAGTTGGCAAAACAGTATGGAAGCACCTCTAATTTACGAGACTGCTTTGGCATTCCTTTCAGCATTTCAGCTAGCGCAGGGGCGTTCTCATCTCTCGCACCACACCGTGGCACGGGAGGGAAAAGCCTTCTGACTGACTGATGCCCAGGATTCCAGGTGAATGGCACTGCGATCCAAAGGGAACAGCAGAGGCAACAGTCCTCTGCGCCTCTTCCAACCCGGAGGCGATAGTAGGGGGTGTCCATGCAGTCAGCAGACAGACTCACTGACCCAATCCAGCTGTTCTCCCAGCTTTTCCCCAAGATCTAGATCCACGCTCTCAGGCAGAGAGCTGCCAAGGTGTGGGTTCTCTGGCCCACAGGAATCTGCAAGCTTTGCTGCACTGCAGGATCATTTCACAGACAAGTAGGTGCCCCCCACAGTGAGGAATTCCCGGCAGCCCAGCACACTTGTTTCACTCAGTTCCACATAATTAATGTCAGTGTGGGAGGCCAGCTGAGTTATTTAACTCCTGCTGCCATAAAATAAATTCCTTTGGTTCTATTTCCCTTTCCTCTCTTCACCCTAGACAGTCACAGCCACGCCAGAGCACAGCAGAATCTGGCTACCCCGCTGGCTTTTCCACAGGCAGAAACGCCACCCCCAGCCCACCACACGCAACCGGACTTACCCAAGTGCAAAAACATCCGAGTGCTTGGAGAAGGGCAGCTTGTCCTCTTCCGTATCAGGCGAGAGCTGGCGGATGATTTCTGGGGCCAGGTGGCACAGCCAGCCATTCTGGATCCGCAGTTTATTCTCCCTCCTGAGAAGACAAAGAATTAAGAGCAAACGTGTTACTGAGATGCCATTTCAACTTTGCTTCCAATGACCATATATCACTGGCTTAAGGTTACTAGGCCTTCGTCTCTTCAGGGCAGAGTCCTGAACCTTGGGGTCTATGCTGTGGTTATTTCAGGGCAGAATTTAAACAGGATTTTAATCCTATTTAAACAAATAACAGGTGGAGACAAAATTATTGGCTTCCCTTTTGTCCCTATTAGTTGTTGGGCTACAGCACAAAGCTCTAGACATGAGGCACAGGTCAAACTGTTTCTGGACTGGCCCTGAGGTGGAAATGACGGGGAGATACAGTTCAATCAGGACAGAAGTTAATCAGGAAAGCAGTGTGAACAAAACCTGCACAGTGGCTGCCCTTTTTTCTCCCAGGGCTACCTGATCTTTACTTTAACCAACATGCTGAAATTTTACATGAGAAGGATGGCTAAAACTTTATCTAGTGACAATCTGTATTGGGAATTGCCACATGGTTCTGCACCTTGGGCATTAACAGCAATAGGATCAGGCTCTGCAACAGAAGGAAGAATAGGGGCAAAGAGGATAAAAGGCTAGATGCTCATCCATTGTGCTGGTGCAATTCTAGAGTCACTCCACCAACTTCAGTAAACGGCCTGAAACTTTGCATTGATGTCATGGAAGACTCTGCCCAGCACATGCTAGATCCATGAGAAAGAAAAAAAAGATACCCTGGGCAACTGTTCTGCCAATGCTGATAAATATATAGTAGTCAGAGACAAAAGAAAGAACAGTTCAAACAAACAGTTTTCCCCTCCCCATGTATCCAAAGAGCTTTGTACAGAAAGACACAAGAAACACAAGCAAAATGCAGAAAAGACTTGTCTGTGCCTCCTCTATGAAGTAATAAGGCACCGTATTACAAAATGGAAATCTGTAGGCAGCCTAAATGGAGCAGAACTGTCCAGACAGGTGAGGGAAGAAGGGAATCAAGGAAATAAGTTCTATTATATGTGAAAGGTGGGGAGAAAAGGAAGGAGTCTGGGGTGATGTGTTTGGTTTTATTAAAAGGAGGAAAACCAATGGAAATGTGGGACCACTGCTCAATGCATCTGGACATCTGATCACCGACACCAAGGAGAAAACTGAACTCCTGAATGAATACTTCACATTTGTATTCCCCACCAGTCTACTAGGGATAGCCTGCTGAAGGCAAATATGACACAGAATAGTCACAGTAGGGACGATCACCTACCAACAGTCAATATAGCGCTGGTGAAAGAACAGCTAGAGAGGCTGGATATCTATAGGTCAGCAGGACCAGATGAACTCCATCAGAGAGTGCTGAACATACTAGCTCAAGGGTTTTCAACCTTTTTTAACAAGTCAACCCCTTCTAACTCGAAGTTTCAGCTCATGTACTCCTTTATATTAAAATGATTTGTGGGGGCTGAGCATGTGCATGTGTGCATGTGCCCCCCACAAAGCACCTCTGGCAGGTAAGTCTGGAGGAGGGGAAAGGGCTGTGTGTGGGGGGGGGGGCCGCAAATTGAGGCCCCTATGGTGAGGGCGGGAGTGGGACACAGGCAGTGGCAGGGGCTGGGGTGAATGAGGCCCTGGCCGGATTGGGCTGTGGGACAATTGGAGCCTGGGTGGTTCATCCAGGGGCGCGGGGGGGCTCCTGCCACTGCATACACCCCAGCAGAGCCCCAGGGAGCATGTGCCCCCCAATCTGTGCACGGGGCGGAGGCGGCTGCCGCTGCATGCTGGGATTTGTGTGCTGCTGCATCTACCCTGGGAGCAGTATGACGCCCCGTGCATCCTGCAGCTGGGTGGGCAGGGGATGCGGTGCAGCCCAGAGGTAGCAAGCATGTGGCATTGCGCCACCCCCAGGGCAGCTGCAACAGCGCGCAAAGCCCAGTATGCAGCGGCAGCCATCTCCAACCTGCACACAGATTTGTGGAGCAGATGCCCCCAGGCCTCCCCTGGGGTGTGCGCATCAGCAGGCGCCCCCGTTCCTCCCCCACATATGCCTACGATCTTTTTGAGTACCCCTAGGGGTACATGTACCCATGCTTGACAACCACTGAACTAGTTGAAGTCATTGCAGGACCTCTGGTAAACCTCTTTGAGAATTCATGGTGCTCTGGAGAGGTCCCAGAAGACTGGAAGATGGCCAATGCTGTGCCCACCTTCTAGAAGGGGAGGAGAGAGGACCCAGGGAATTACAGGCGGATCAGCCCAACCTCAATCCCAGGAAAAATCCTCAAAAAATTTCTCAAGGAGTCCATATACAATAAGCTAGTAGAACGCAAAATTCTGAATGACAGCCAGTATGGTTTTGTCATGAGTAGGTCATGTCTGACTAGCCTCATCTCTTTCTACAACCAGGTTATTCACCACCTGGATAAGGGAGATGAGGTCAACATCATTTACTTTGACTTTAGGCAGGCCTTTGACTTGGTGTCTCATGAGGCTCTCAAGGTAAAACTAGGGTACTATGGGCTCAACAACTCAAGGGTCAGATGGGTAGGAAACTGGCTGCAGGGTTGTACCCAGAGAGTGCTAACAGATGATCCGTGTCAACCTGGCGGAAGGTAGCCAGCAGGGTCCCCCAGGGTTTGATACTTGGACCGGTGCTTTTCAGCATCTTTATCAATGATTTGGATGTGGGGGTGAAAAGCACACTGACAAAGTTCACCAATGACACTAAGCTCTGGGGAAGTATAGCCACGCACCAGGGTAGGCTGACGATCCAGGCAGACCCAGACAGATTAGTTAGATGGACGGACCAGAACCAGATGCTGTTCAACACTGAGAAGTGTAAAGTGCTCCATCTGGGGAGGAAAAATTCATAACAAACTTACAGGCTCAGTGGTGCTATGCTAGCTAGCACCCTGTCTGAAAGGGACCTGGGGGTCAAACTGACCATAAAATGAATATGAGCCACCAGTGTCATTTGCTACAGCAAATGCTACGCTGGCACACATCATCCAGTGTATCTCAAGCAAAACTAAGGAAGTTATTCTCCCACTCGGCACTGGTGAGGCTGCAGCTGGAGAACGGCATCCAGTTCTGGGTGCCACACTTCAAGAAGGATGTGGAGAAGCTTGAGAGAGTCCAGAGAAGAGCCACTCGTATGATTAGAGGCCTGAGAAGCAAGCCATACGAGGAAAGGCTGACAGATACAGGACTGTTCAGCCTAGAAAAGAGAAGACTTCTGGGGGATTTGGTGGCAGTTTACATATATATTAGGGGAGAGCAGCAGGAGTGAGGCAAACAACTATTCACCAAAGCACCCCAGGGGAAAACTAGGAGCAATGGTCATAAACTCCTACAAGAAGGTTTCAGACTGGATATAAGGAAAAATTTCATGCTTCATGCGACCAGACTGTAGAACAGACTCCCAGCAGGGGTGGTGCAAGCACCTACCCTGGAGATCTTCAAAAGGAGACTGGACGCACACTTTGCTGGGGTTATTTGACCCCAGCAGTCTTTCTTGCTCAGAGCTGGAGGGCTGGACCTGATGATCACACGAGGTCCCTTCCAGCCCTAAACTTCTGTGAATCTGTGAACAACGTAGATAGAATATAACATAGGCATATATTATTGAGATTTTGAAAACCAAGCAGGGAGCTGGGTGTATAACACATTCCTTTCAATGGGAGTCGTACAGCTACATTTCTGAATTGGCTTAGAAAAATCTCTGAATCTGATTCTGCACATACACATGTGAGAGTGCCAGGATATATGTGGTCATTCAATAATGCAGTCCACTAAGCTGGATGTAATTATAAGCATCTCTTTTACCCTTTTCTTCCCTTAGCCTTATCCCTGCACATATTTTTATGCTCTTCACACTGTGAGGAATAACCTTTCAGTTCCTTCCCACTTAAATGACTGTTCAAGGTTTGCTGTTTCAGCACCTTGGGAAAAATAATTTGCCCCTAACATATGTATTTATCAGGAGTTCTCAAAGCACTCGACAACTAGACAGAGGAGCTGCACCTTTCAGGCCACTCTACAAATAGGGAAAATGAAGCACAGTGCTGTTAAGGACCGACTTGTGCCAGGTGCTTGGCACAACCAGTAAAAGAACCCTGATGACAACCAATAATGCGTTGCTGTTATATGAACTGTAATAACAGCGAAGTGCCATGCTTGAGGTCAGACAAAAAGGCAGGAGCACAGAAGGAAACAGAACTTCCAAGTCTAGTCAGAAGCATCCAGTTCCAGTTATCCATCAGTTCATGCAAGGCCCCGTTCATGGCTATTGTGATCCACTGGGTCTCTGACCCTTCTATCTTCTCCCCAAGAATAACTTCTATGTCACTGGCCTGGCCTGAAAGGACATTTCTTAATCCATGCCGGCACCAGGAGAGAATTCTGAGCTCCCCGGCCTTGCATAGCACTCAGATGATTAACATCCATCAGCCAAAGAACAGCAAAGGGCACAATTTTGGACCCAGTGTGCAACCTTCTCCCTCACAAGAGTCCTGTTTATTGAAAACAGATGCCACATTAAATTGAGCAGTAATCCCCAGGGAAGCCATCTCTGACAGCAATTAAACAACTGTCAGTTAATAAACTGAACTCAGGTCAGCACTAGTGAGCAGTGGGGCGTGCAAAAAGCACCAACTGTCTGCTCTGCAAATGCATCTCAATCAAGTCAGGCACCTGGCCTGAGAGCTCAGCAGCTGCACCCTGAGCTCCCCTGGAGGCATGAAGGGACACTGTTTCTTCTGAGCTCAGCTCCTGGATTGCTCTGCTTTCCAGTGCTGGGAGCATCAGGTGTGAGGTTGCACTGGTGAGGCTCACAAGCCAGAGACAAAGACAGTATTTAGACTGCTATCCCATCTTGTTGTTGTAGACAGTTATCCCATCTTGTTGAATGTGAATAATAGTTGGGAAGAGGGCTTGCTCCTTTCCCCTAGCAGCAAGCTTTATGTTGCCATATTGCCTGGTCTGTCTTCTGGTGGGACCTCAGATACTCCAGCTAGATTACCAGTGTTGTGTTAGGACACCATCATTAACCAGTCCTCACTCTGGCTTAGAGCCAGCATCCACCTTGATTAACAAAACAGAATGCAGAAACAGTGAAGATCAACTTCTATTTTCAGCCACAGAAAATGAAGTTCCTGTTTCTTTATAGGAGAACCCAAAAGAACAAGATCTAAAGAAGCCTTCTAAATCTATTTGATGCAATCCCCCTGGGCCCTTCTCCCCCTGCTTCAAGCACCCATGTAATCAAGGCAGGGTTTGGCCCATAGAAGTGAGGAGAAGCAATGTTCATGTTCTAAATAACGATTCCTCTCTCCAAAACAATGATCCTGCCGCTTCCATGGATGGGCTGCTGCCTGGATTGCTTTTGGCTATCAGACCCTTGATTTAGAGAATCTGGATGCCTACATGTTTTAAGGGCAATCCCCATAGAATCAACTAA